CCCATAGAAATTGTCAGAACCAACTTTGACAGAACTCTGGTAAATAGTCAAAGATTTACCTCAACCAAATGAATGCTAAATTAATAAAATTGCAACTTAAGATGGTAGAAAGGCATTTGCAGCATTTTTACTTGCCTTGTCCAATCTTTCACCAGCGTAACAGCAGTCTTAAAGCAGTAGCACCCTGTGTACCCAGTTCAGAATCCTGGTCCTTGACTCTGAAAAGTCAAATGGACCTTATTCATAAATTATTATTTATGTCTGTTCTATTGTGTCTGGGGACTATCTGAAGAAATCATGAAAAGCAGTCATCACTGTTTAGGATCTCAGGCTAAAGAATCAGGTATTGCTCAAAAATGAGCAAGGCAGACAAACAGATGTTTGAGGTAAAAGATTACAGTTGTGACATAAAATAGACTGCTTAAGATATAGGAAGAAATTCTTTGGAAAATCAGCATATTCAAAAGCACTTGTATATACAGGGGGATTTATAAAGTCAAACACATGACCAAGGCAAGACACATGTTAATAAATGAACACAGAAAACTCTGTATTTCCACCCTGAGCTGATGCTTAGGCTCAGTGCAAGTCTGGCTAAATGATGAAAGTGCCACAGTACAGAGACAATCTCCAAATACTAAAGCTTTTTTCTTTTGTAATTATTTTCTAATATTTTATTTGCTGTGTTTTGTACTTTTGTTTTGTTTTATCTTTATTTTAGCTCCTAGAGGTCAAGGAAATATCTATCAAAACACTAGTCAGACATTAGCTGAATAAACAGATAATTTAATGGTTACACACACACACAAAAAAAACAAGCAAAAAGTCTTGGCAAAAAATAGTTTGCAAAAGTAACAAATAGACTAGCACAGACTTCAACCATTGAAAACATAGCAAACCTTAGGGAAGGAATAGAGTTTGATTTTCAGAGTCACTGTATTATAATATGTAAATGTCCAATTTTCAACAAAAACCCACAAGACATATAAAGTAATAGGAATGAGTAAAAAGGAAAAATAATAAATTGAAATAAACCGTATCAGAGGAAGTCAGGCATCACACATACTGGAAAAATATTTGTAAACAACTGTTTAAATATGTTTTAAAAAGCTAAGGGAAAACATAGAGAACTACAAGAAACAAAAACAGAAAAAAGGATTTATAAAAAAAAATTATGACAGCAGTAAAAACAGAAATTATAATGGAGAATACAACAAAAGTTATTGAAGTAAAATTATAGTAACTGAAATAAAAAATCACTAGAGGTGTTCAACAACAGATTTGATCAGGCAAAGGAAAAACAGCGTGGACTTAAACATAGGACAGGTTAAGTTACTGGGTTTAAAAAAGAAAAAGAAATAGGAAAAGTGAACAGAATGTAAAGACCCTCTAGAAAACCATCAAGTGGATTAACATATGCATTATCTAAGTCCCAGAGAAAACAGAGAAAATGGGGTTGAAATAATATTTAAAGAATATTCAACTTCTCAAACTTACCAACTTTAATGAAATACATGAATCTACAAGTCTAAAAAGCTCAACAAACTTCAAGGTGGAAAATTTAATTATACATTCAGACACATTTTACACACTAAAAAACAAAGGCAAAGAGAGGATCTTGAAAGCAACAAGAGAGAAGAAACTTATCACTAAGAAAGGATCTGCAATAAGATTCATAGCCCAAATGTAATCAGAAAGTATAAGAAGGCTAGGGAATAGCATAAAATGTTGAAACTCTTTTATTAAAAAAGAATCTTATTTGATAAAAAAAAAAAGTAAACCAAAAATTCTATATCCAGAAAGATTGTAGTTAAAATTAAGAGAGGTATTCAGAAATTCTCAGATTAAAAAAGCAAAAAAAAAAAAAAAAAAAGGATGGAAGACTGTGTTACCATGAAATCTGGCCTAGAGGAAAAGCTGAAGAGAATCCTTCCAACTGAAATGAAAGGACAGTTTACAGTATTTCAAGAAAAGCTAAAGAGAATCCTTCCAACTGAAATGAAAGGACAGTTTACAGTATTTCAAAATCATGTAAGTAAAGGTCTTAGTAAAGGTAAATACACAGAACTATACAAAACTAGCATTACTTTATTTTTGGTTTCTCACTCTATTTTGTATTTCTTAAAAAATGTATAAAACAGAAATGCATACAAATATTTATAAATTTATGTTATTGAATGCACAAGGTATGAAGCTGTAGCTTTTGATGATAACATAGAATGAAGGATTATACCGTTTAGGAGTAGAAATTTTGCATGCTATAGAATTTTAATCATTGTCAATTCAAATTATGTTGTTATGCATTTAGTATGATAAATATAGCTCCCATCATAAACACAAAGAAAATATTCATAGAATATACATGGAAGAAATGAAGAGAGTAAAAATGATTTATCATAAAAAATTAACTAAATACAAAAGAAGGCAATAATGAAGGAAATAAGGGACAAACAAAGCATAAGACATACAAGAAAACACATAGCAAAATGAGAGAAGTAAATATTTCCTTACCAGTAATTACTTCAAATGTAAATTAATTAAATTCCCTAATCGAAGAAACAGAGATTGAAGACATCATGAAAACAGAATGTAAAATATCTAGTTAATATTTTATATTTGAACATAAATGTAAAATTTGAGTTTTGAATCTCAACACTATTAATGTTTCTCTGTCCTGCTTACTGATAGCTGCAATAATAGAAGTTATAACTTACTGAAAAGTCCTAATTAAAAAGAATTTTTTTCATAATTTGGTGATTACATAAACTCTACTGGTAGTCAATGTCTCTTCAAAATGGAGGTCCTGGATATGTCACTGTTTTTTTGTTTTTCCTCTTTCAAGGTTTCTGAGGTTGCTCATTGATATTAATGCACTGAGTAGTTTATCCCAAGACATCTTGTGGTTGACCAGAGAATGGAAGACTAAGTCCTTCTAGTTTTCACCAAAGAGAATATGACCATGTGAGAAAATGCCAAATATAAACAATATTGTGTGGAATCTTTTCAAGAGTAAACAAGTAAACAAACAAAAAACCCAGAGATTGGTAGAATTGGTAAGAAAAATCACCCAATAATATGCTGGACACAAATATTGTGTCCAAAAACATAAATACATAAAAGGGTCACTTCATCAAGAACTACAACAATTGTAAACTTATATACAACAACAAATAAAAGCCCCCAAAATGAGCAAACATTGACATACTCGAAGGTAAAAACAGACAATTCTACAACAATGGTTGGAGACTTCAGTATACCACAATCAGTAATCAATAGAACTGACCTTAAAGAAACAAAAAGAATTATAAGAAAATACTACACTAGCAAGATAGATAGCCTACATGAAATTCAGAAATTCAGAAATTCCTAGAAACACAAAAATTGCTTAACTGACTCAAGAGAAAATAGAAAATATCAGCAGGACTATAACAACAAATACATTGAATCACTAATCCAAAACCTTTGAAAAAACACATGCCAGGCCCCGGTGTGTGATGTCCCCCTTCCCGAGTCCAAGTGATCTCATTGTTCAGTTCCCATCTATGAGTGAGAACATGCGGTGTTTGGTTTTCTGTTCTTGTGATAGTTTGCTAAGAATGATGGTTTCCAGCTGCATCCATGTCCCTACAAAGGACACAGACTCATCCTTTTTTATGGCTGCATAGTATTCCATGGTGTATATGTGCCACATTTTCTTAATCCAGTCTGTCACTGATGGACATTTGGGTTGATTCTAAGTCTTTGCTATTGTGAATAGTGCTGCAATAAACATACGTGTGCATGTGTCTTTATAGTAGCATGATTTATAATCCTTTGGGTATATAATGGGATGGCTGGGTCATATGGGGGAGGGGGGAGGGATTGCATTGGGAGTTATACCTGATGTAAATGATGAGTTGATGGGTGCTGACGAGTTGATGGGTGCAGCACACCAACATGGCACAAGTATACACATGTAACAGACCTGCACGTTATGCACATGTACCCTAGAACTTAAAGTATAATAATAAATAAATAAATAAATAAATAAATAAATAAATAAATAAAAGACATGCCAGGACCAGATGGCTTCACTGGGGAATTCTACCGAACTCTTATAGATAATTCTATCAATTCTTCTCAGACTCTTTTAAGAAAATAAACAGTAGAGAGGAAACAGTTCTTAACCCATTCTATGGAACCAAAATAGTCCTGATACCAAAGCTAGATAAAGACATCACAAGAAAATAAAACTGCACCAATACCTATTTTATACATATATATATATATATATAACTGTGCCAATAGTCATTATATATGTATGTGTGTATATTATACATATTATATATTAAATGAAAAAGCTATATATACACAAATCCACAACAGAATACTAGCAAAAGAAGTGCAACAGTATAGTGAAAGGCTAATACACAATGACCATGTAAGATTCATCCCAAGAATGCTATGGTAATTATAGATCAAAAATCAATGAAAACAATACAATGCAATATAATAAAGGGCAACAAACCACATATGATAAATCAAAGCAAAAAGGCATTTGATAAAATCCAACCCCCTTCCTGATAAAAACACTAGAAAACCACAATGAAGGAGAACTTCCTTAACATGACAAAGCTTATCTATGAAAACTCTACAGCTTACATCACACTCATCATGAAATATGAAAACGTTTAATATCCATAACCAGACAAGGATGTAAATTTTCACCCTTGTTCTTAAATATTCTACTGGAATTCTAGCCAGAGAAATTAGAAAAGAAAAGGAAATGAAAGGCATCCAAATTGGAAAGGAAGAAGCAAAGTATTTCTATTCACAGATGACATGATTCTACATAGAGAAATTCCCAAAGAATCGACAAGAAAGCTACTAGAGCTAATCAACACAGTCAGCCATGTTAAAGGGTACAAGATCACATACAGAATCAACTATGTTTCTAAATAGCATCTAAACCTTGTTGAAAAAAATAAAAATTGCATAAATAAATGGAAAGATATCCAACATTCATGGATTGGAGGTTTTAATATTGTTGCCATGTTAATACTACCCAAAGCAATGTACAGGTTTAATACAGTCTCTATAAAACATTCCAACAGAATTATTGCCAAAATGAAAAACCTAAACATCAAATGAATATGAAATTGCAAGGGGCCTTCATGAGACAAAACAATCTTGAAAAAGAACAAAGTTAGTGGACTCACAATTCCTGATTTTAAGACTTACAAAGCTACAGGAATTAAAACACTTGAATACAGACAAATAGACAAATGGAATACAATAGAGATCCAAAAAATAAACCCATATATCTTTGACCAATTAATTTTTGATAAGACTGACAAATTAAATGAGAAAATAACAGTATCTTCAACAGATGATACTGAGACAACTGGATTTCCACATCCAAAAAAACAAAGTTGGACCTCTACCTCACGCTATCTACAAAAATTTACTCTAAACAAATCAATCACCTAAAAATAATCACCATTGGCTTGTGCACTAAAACTGTACAACCCTTAGAGGAAAACACAGAGGTCAATCCCCATGAGCTTGAATTGGGAAACAGGTTCTTAAAATGACACCAAAAACACAAGAAACAAAAGAAAAAAAATACATAAAAATTTAAAAAAATCATCAGAGTGTATTATTAAGAATATAAAAAAGACAATCTACAAAATGGGAAAAATATTTGCTAATTATATATCTGATAAAGGACTAGTATCCTGAATATGTAAACAACTACCAAAAGTCAACACAATTTTAAAATGGGCAAAAAGTTGAGCAGACATTTCTTAGAACATATACAAATGATCAATAAGCATATGAAATAATGCTCAGTATCATTCATTATTAGGAAAATGTAAATCAAAACAAAATCATAAAAAATTTAAAACTTGGGAGAAACTGAAATCCTAACACCCTCAAAAATTAGTGGAAGAAATCTAAAAAGGTGTAGCTATGGTAGAAAACACACTGACACTTCTTCAAAAAAAGTAACAAAAAACTCAAAATTAAAACTATCATGTGACCTAGCAATTCCACTGCTATATATATAACCAGAAGAACTGAAAACACACAGACTCAAACAGATAGCTGTACACTGATGTTCCATGCAGCATTGCAGCATTATTCACAGTGCCCAGAGGTGGAAATAACAAAAGTGTTCATCAAAAGACAAATGGATAAACAAAATACGATATATAAAATTTATTATACCATAAGAGGAGTTGAAGATCTGAGGCGCACTTCAACATGGGTGAGCCTTGGAGACATTGTAAGAAGTGGAATAAATTAGACATCAGAGGGCAAATATTTTATGATTCCACTTACATGAAATATCTAGAATAGGTATATTGTAGAAAAAAGGTAGATCAGAGTCTATTAAAGACAGGGAGAGAGGAGGAATGAGTATTATTTGCTACATGGGTACAGAGTTTGTGTTTGGGTCATACAAAAATCTTTAAGTGCTTTTTAAGAAATATTTAAAACAGAGGGTGATGACTTCACAATATTGTAAATATAATTAACACTATTAGCTTGTACAGTTAAAATGGTTACAATGTCAAATTTTATGGTATATATTTTCCAAAGTAAAATCTTCTTTAAAAAAATTAGTGTAGATAGCCTCCCTATATATAGTAATTTTATATTAAATAAAACAATCAGGTGCTGGGGACTTTGACTTGGTGCTATACTTCTACTTTTTTACTTTTACTCTAGTACACAAAAATTTGCATCTCATTTGCATTTTCAATAATTTCATGTGACTCAATACACAAAAGTGCACACAATAATTAATTATTAGATCTATAAAATGTCTGTACGAATATATTTTGGAAATAGAAAAGAAATAAAACTTGAATAATTTTCTGGAACAAGTACAACAGAATGATTGAAGAAATAACCTGAGTTTATGAGTACCTTTTAGAAAAAATAAAAAAAGTCCTAAAACATTCCATATATATGAAAAGGAATATTTTGGGGTTTAACTGACAATTAAAACTTGTTCAAAAACTAGCTGGTGAGCTACAGAATTATACATAAAATAAAAAAGAAAAGTTATTTGAGATTTATTTCCATGTGTTATTCCTTTCAACGTAACAGAACTTTATTTCTACAAATTGTTAGAAATATTAGAACCCTTTAGTTCTACAGATTATTCAAAATTTTAAAAGTCATGATTTTAGACTTTCAAAAGAGGAACTTATAGTTTGCAGTCTACTTCCACACCTCATTAAGCTGTAACTCTATTGCAATCAAAACACTTTTATTTGAAATTCTTGTGTTTGTTGTGCTTTACAATATACTATGAATTAGATGTGTCATAAGAAGTATGTATTTATACTTACATATTTTTAGCAGCTAGATTACTTCCAAAATTACTCAAGAATGTTGAGTAACAGGAATGATTTAAATGGTTTCCAGTCTATGTCCATTAACATTAGCATTGAGACTTGTTATCATAGATTAGTGCATTCCTGTACCTTATGTTCAGCTAAAACAAATTGCTCCTGCTTACTTTTAAAATATAATTATGCCACTTTTTGTAGAACTTTATGTTTTTATAGAACTCTATTTGTGAATGATTATTAATTTTATTTAGTTATGGGTATACACCTATGTTCTGTTAATCTTCTTAATATAAGAACTAAATATCTCATAAAAACAATTGATTCTCACAAACCTTAAGAATCAGAGTCTGTGCCCACTCTTCCTCATAAACATTAAAAAAAAGAAAATGTGTACATTATGGGTGTGTGAGTAACGTGTTTGATTGAATATATGCATAAATGGACATTTTGGATTTAGATGTAGGGGATGCAGGGTAAAGACCTGAAGTGATTTAACTTTCGTTTTAACTCAGTAATAATTCTGTTCCTTTGAAAACAATCGCATACATATCCTGAATGAATGAAAAAGTAGATGATAGGACAGGTTATGAACAACACTGTTTTGTTACCACCATCAAGAAAAGAATTAGCCCCAAAGGGGTGGGAAGAGTGTAAGAATAAACAGGACGATGTCCTTGAGGAACCAAGATAACTGAAAATGTCACTCTGAGCTGAGATCCAGGAAAGCCATTCCTGCTCTTGACTCTCTCTTTACATATGTATATTAGGAGAAAAGTTGTATACAACAGCAAAGTATTTGCAGAGGCAATATGCAGTCTTCAATCTGTCTCTTTTTAATCATCATACACATTTATGTACGCATATGCATGCACACCCACAAGCAAAGTTGTTCCAGGGTGTTACAGTTGTCAAACAGAGAATTAGGTAAATTGCCCAATGTCACGACTACAAATTTAACCAGGAAAATTCATTTCAAACTTGCAACTTTTGTTTCAGTCTTGCATTGTGTGTGTCAGGAAGTGTGTGTGCGCGCGTATGTGTGCACACTAACAACTGTATCTAAATTGTCCAGTGTAGTTAGGTTCCTGAGCACGGCTTCCAAGTGTTCTAAATGGCTAATGTCCTGAAACTTCTCCTTGGATGATTGGATATTTGTAATAATCCAAATGTGGAATAATTAACAGATTAACCTGAATTTGTTAAAAGGTAAACAGTTTTCTATCTTATTTGATTTGAACTTAAAAAAAAAAATAAACTACATATTGGTGTCAATGATAACGATCAGAATTACCAAGGAATAGAGATATGATCTATATCTTAGAGCGTCTGAATTCAATTGGGAGTACAATGCTCTTACAAATATTTTTATGGAACTCATTGCTTTTGCCACGTATTCTGATAAATGTATGTGCTTTCAAATGTTACATTAATATCTATTTTATGACACCATGGGAGACTGCTGTGCATAAGTAACCGGCCAAACTCACACAGCTGAGGCCTGCTTCACACCAGAGGCAGCTCTTATATGCTTAGCTTCGATATTGCTTAAATATGACTGCATTCTCCCGTATTAGCCATCAAAACTAACTCAGTTCTACATGTGCTGGTATTAAATCACATGCATATTCTTTGTTCTTACTCTGAACTTGTGCAAAATTGGAGAAATGTGCACTTAAGGCTTGTCATTATTAAAACCTCTTTTGCCCTGGCTCTCTAGAAAAGCAGTGAATCAATTTGGATTAATTATAGTATTCCTATCTTGATCATTTTGGAAGTTTTACTAGGAGAAGAGAGCCTTTATCACTTTTTATCCTATACTGAGGCATAAAATTAGTATACATTTGCTTAAATAGCTGTCCTGCTCTCCCAAAGAACTGGGTGCACCTAATCATGGAATAAATAGTTCCAATATTATAAAGCTGCTTGTAATCTCTTAAGGTTTTTGCATGGCCTACATGTAAAACAGTATTATTAGTTCTTGCAATAATTATTTCACCACTCGCACTTGAAGCAATGGGTACTTTCACAAATCAGGCAATGTGCAAATTCTGTCATAGTAAAACATTTATTTGTTAAAGTGATATAGATTATTCAAGATTCTACAGTCTGTTAAATCATGGATGGCAATGTAAGATGGATTGATACAGAACTTGATGTCAATGTAGGCTTTTTTTCTTTCTGGAAAAAAAAAAAAAATACTTGTAGGCCAGAAGAAAAAAAAATTTGGTTTTAAAAGAGGATGAACCATGGTCTGATGGAGCCAGTTCCGCCAGCATCAGAGACTTTCACCTCGGCTCCTGTAGACAGTTTCTTCTAGGACACCAGTTCAACAATTAGCCTTTGTGAATTGAAACATTTTTGAATTTTATCCAGTAAAAATATCAGTGGCAAATTTTTTCAGGAGAGAGAGGAGAAGTGGTGCTCTTCAGATTAACTCCAAACTCTGAAATGAAAGAAAAAGGAAAAGGAAAAAAGAAAGAAAGAAAACACATAGCTAATAAGATCATTGTGTTAGCAAGCTAAAAGTAACTGAAATGTAAGCACCCAAGCAGGAGTTTCTTGCCATGAAATACATCACACACGCATGAAAACTATCTAAACATGCATATTAACATATAAAATGTTGCTTGGTAACTTCAAATTGGTGAATATATAAAAAATCTTATTTTTTAAAAAATCTAAGTATATGAAGTCTAGATAATTATGTAAAGTCAAAACTACATTGGAAAATATCATTTTCTCTTACTTTGTTTTTCACATATATAATTTCAAGGTAAGATAAATAAATAATAATTGCAGCTATTAATGCATGCCACTTATAAATTTAAAAAATTCTGCTAGAAAATGTGTATGATATTACAATTTTACAAATATTTAATTATATATATAATGGTAGTAAATTATTCATCTTAACTAATCAGTTTTTCACCCACAAAACAAAATAAATGGAAAACTCACAATAACTCTTAAAGTCATTCCATGTTTGAATTAAATATGATTTTGAAAGAAAATAATGTAAAAGCCATTTAATAAAAATATTTAAACATACAACTGTGAAAATATTTTTCCTCTAATCAGTCTTCATGGATTTAAGATATGTCTAACGAAGTCTATTTTTTATGAAAATGGAAAATAATGTTTTGAGAAATATATGCTTTCATATACATGAGCACAACTAATTTTCTCTTTTCCATTAAAAAAAACTGCATGTTTACAATTTTCTATTTGGAAATTTTAAAATGCATGGCACGAATGAATCATGAAATAGAGATTCATTTATTTCATATTCTATATTAAAATGCTGATGTAGAATATCTTTAGATAATTTTATGTAATAAAGTTATTAAAGTATATTAAAGGTTATTTGGTAACTTTATGTGAAGGTAGGTAAAATGCTGTAAAGATAATTTATTTAAGAAAGTATTTCAAAATAATTAATAACCTGAATAGTGAAATTGATTTTAGTAAAAATAATAATTTTGGAAAGCTAATAAGAAATGCACCATATATGTGAAGATCGTTAAGGGACCAATGTGTATGTTATTTGTAAAAAAAAAAAAGAATTACTTTTTAAAAAATTACTGAAATATAGATATAATTGTCATAATTTACCTGGAATATACTAAGAAAAACGTTGCAAAATCACTGTAAAAATGCAATGGTATATATTACTAAGTTCGTCTTTATTTGGTTCATTGCAGAGCTCATATGGTAAAATTGAATATCAACATGTTTTCTCTTTGTGTATTTCAAGTGATAGACTCCCTTTGACACACAAAAAAAGGTGTTATGGTACTATATCAAATGTCAAGTTACAAAAAGTAATAACATAGTAAAAGTTGCAGTATACCTGGGAGGAAAATGACAGTGGACAAAGTAACTAGTTTAAGTTTTTAAGTAATAAATAGTTCCAGGATAGCAAATGTTAATTTAGTATCAAGTTAATGATTTTATAAGTTGACATATCTTAAAGATTTACTTAAATCTCACATTAAATAATGATATTAACGAACTGTGAAATTATGGTTTATATAAATGCTACTAATTTTGAATATTAGGAAATAACAAAAATATTGTGAAGTATAAAGTTTGCTCTGAAGATGTAGCAGTATTAAAATTATTAAATAATACGGAGCCAAATAAAAACTGCCATTTAATAGAATATCCAAAATAACACTTTTTAATTTACATATCAATAGGTAGCTCCTACAGTAATTCTATAAATATCTAAACATAAAACACAAAATTACAAGAGTATCAAACAATACAACTAATGCAGACTAAATATGGTAAAAATGTTATAAAAACTAAAAATAATCAAATTGTAGTAGGTTTAGGATGTTTTGGTTATTTTCCTCATTTAACAGTGAGTGGATATCATGCAAAAATTTGTGGACAGTCTTATTAACAGTATTAAAAGATAAATAAGAAATGCAAGCTCCCTGAACATTAAGAGAAGAAAAAAATGTCCTGACATTGAATGAATTGTGGGAAAACATTTATTACCGCCCCTCTTCTCAATGTAATTAAGAACTGTGAAATATTTTGATCTTTCATAGCTAGGATGTCTAAACAAGGAGATGATTTCTAAAGGTCATTGCTGACACAAAGGCTCTCCTTTTTTTAAAATTTGGTAAATGTTCAAATATATATGTTAAAACATGCCTCAATTATTAAAACAAATCCAAATGTTTCCTACATATGTGTTTATTCTATTATTCCTATTTCAGAAAATTTACTTGAAAAGTATTTCATAGGAACCTCCTCCTGCAGAAGCAAATATTTTATATTGATCACTCTCACCTGGAAACATATTGGAGGCATATTTGCATCATGTATAAAATTTGCTTTTCTCTTTGGCTCTTATTTCATGTATTTTCCTAAACCCTATGCTTTCCCATAGTTTTATCAATGTTGTTATGTATTTATAATAAATATTAGCTTTTTATTAATTTGTATATTATTTATCTAAAAAATTGTACTCATCTGGAGCAGAGATTTTATTGCAAAGTTTACATTTTTGCTTGTTATTAAACGTGGACTAATGGCAAGTTAAATTTCTTAAAATCAGGAAGCAATTATCTTAAACACCTGTGCAAGCAATGACAGAATAAGCTATAGCTCTTGTAAACACACACACACGTACACACAATGTGTACATATTTTGTTGGTCAGAATACAGCAAACACTTCCTAAGAAATTTTATTTAAGGCATTTTAAGTATAAATGGAAACTATTCAATTATTTCTTACTTAACTGCTGAACAGCATAACTATTTTTTTGCTGTGTTCATTGTAAAGATAAAAATCTTGGCCAAACACAAAGAAAATTTATACATAAGTGCCAATTTCCACGTAGAGTCATCAGCATTAATTTTATACATCATTCCTTTCCCCTTTGCTCTCAATTCATTTTAGTGTGATTAAAATTTTATGATTATATTATAAAAGAACTGTATTATACATTATACATTAAAATATTTCAAGGCCACTCCACTTCTATATACATTCGTAAAGGCTTCTAAAAAAGAAAATTGGCATGGGGCATATTCTGAATAATGGAAATGAAATGAGTGTTTTAACTCTCTACGCCTAGAAAAAAAATTCACCTTAACAGGTACCTCAGTATGATTGGCTACAGAAAACTCAGAGCTGAAGAGTTGCAATCACAAAGGGTCTCTGCCCGCTCTCCACCTCAGTTCATTCACACACTGACAATGTGAAAGGCTGTGAGAAAGCTAAGAACACACAGGTCACACACTGTCTTCAGTAGGAGCATCACTGTTTGGTCTGCTCACGGTGGTAGACATAGACCTGCTATAGCACAAATCATTTACCAAGAATCAAGAATACTTACCTCGGGGTCATACAGTAACTTAAATCTGATAATAGAAAGGTAGCAAGGAGCTGGCTAATAAGTGAATGATGTATTGCCACTGAATTTTGTTAAAACTATTATTTGTCTCTGGATTTGTTTTACTTGCTAATATTTATAGAAAGAGGAACAAGGTAGCCTAAGTATGAAGGGAAGTTTTCTATAATGTTATGACAGTCATTTATTTTTAATGATATTTTCTTATTTTTTGTACTACTAATTACCTTAAGATAAAAAGTCATTAATAAAAGCCTTATGTATGTATCACATTTGCAAAATCTCGTGCTATGTCTAGTAGTACAAAGACTTTCAAAGAAATTAGCTTTTTCCAAATTCCATTCCTAATAATATATGAAAATAAATACATAAGCAAAATTATATTCAATATGCCATTTCAAATGTGAATCTTTAGAAAATTCTTTAAATTGATAATTGAAAAATTACGTAGACATTTACTCACCTGCTTCCAAATTTTGATACAACATTTAATACCATTTTGGCTTGTGTTCCTTACAGATTAATCATCTGTTTCCTAATTCTTATATAAAGGTATCCTATCCTAAATTTCAGGTTGGCTGGATATGATTTCTTAAAGTTACATGATCAATGAACTTTAAAAATGAAAGAGAGAAAGAGAAAGAGAGCAAAAGAGGGAGAGAGAGTGGTGGGTAGAGAGAGAGACAGAAAGAGAAATAAGAAGAAAGGTTAAAAATTGAGAGAGAGAAGAAAAGGGGTGATGGAGAAACAAGACACCTTCATGCAGGTCAATTCAATGCACACAATAGAACACAGACATGTGCCAGACATTGTGCTGTTGATTGTTCAGTGTTTCCAATGAGCCATCTGCTGTTTTTTGCAACATAAGAATGGGATTCTAAATTCAGTAAAGAAATGATGCACGAAAACATTTTGATTTGTGGATGGAATTCGTTAGGGAAGATCCTGAAAGATTGACAAAGTTGTTTTTCTTTTAAATATAAAATGTTAAAAACCAAGACCCTATTTTTACTACCAGCAAATAAATCAATGGCCTTTTTTAGAACCGTTAAAAGCAGAGTTTTTTTGTGTGTGCCAAACCTCAAGCAAATGGCTGATGCTTCCAGCTGTTTGAACAGATTGCTAAAGTGCTGCTCTGCTCTGGAAACACACTCTCCGATCCAATTAAAATTCAAGAATCAAATACTCATTTCAAACATCCCCCCCAAAAAAACACTCAAGAAGAATAATTGGTTGCTGACAAAAGTAATACCATGAATATTTCATATGCAGTCTTTTGCTCCATTTTAAAGAGGCTTCATTCATTTTAGATAACAGCGAAACGCTTCTGTTCATCTGTTTTCAATGAGGCATAATGTGTCATCTCAGCTCTTATTAGGATGTGGAGGTCAAGGATAGGAGTAAATACATTCTTATCAAGGTACTGTCTTCACATTTGGAAATATTTGTAAAAATGCACATTGTATCATGTATGATTATAAGACTGACTCCAAAGTTGCATGCATCACTATTATTACTAACTTTATTTCTTACAGAACAAACCGGAGATGTTTAGTTAACCCAAAATATCTCTAAATTTAGAAACTGTGAATTCACTTAAGTAAACTAAACTTCAGTCTGTACTGTTGAGAATTATAAGTAAATTTTAAAGGAAAATTTCAGTAAGCTACACAAATTAGCAAACTAATTACTTAAAATTAATTTATAAAAAGGGGATACTAATTTAAGTGTTGAAGTATGTTACAGGTAATAAGAATCTCACCTGTGTTTCCTGGCCAATCTGGTCAACATTAGTCAGCAAAGCATCTGGGAATAAAATGTTCAGTGTCATAAACAATTCATTTTTTAAAAGAAATAGATTTTAAAAACTTCTTACCGAAATCTTGGTAAGACTTCATACCAAGAATTAGCAAAGATTTATCTAAAGATTTTTTTTAAAAAACTTACCAGTTCATGGGTTAATTGCAATTGACTTTTATAATATTTCAGTTCTCTGTGACTACTTTCTTATTCCTGATGCTTAAAAACATAGTTTTCAAAAATGTTATTCTAATAACTAAAATGAGTGATTTTCAATATGGATTTGGTATTCGTGACAGAGTTCAATAAGATAATCAAGTTTCTGTTCATTTTCTTTCTCACAGTTGACATTTCATGTATAAAGATTCATATGAATAATATGCAAAAATACATCAAGGAAAAAAGAATTCAAAGCAGAAAATATAGTTTAACTATGTGCACCATATGGAGTATAAAAGAATCATTTACAATATTAACCATCATTCAATACCCACTCCTCAAATAATAGCTAATGTTTTAACAAGTACCTGTTCATCCTTATGTAAGACACTAGCAATCTCAATACAAACATCTTTCCTTTAAATGTTTATATGTAGGTTCCAATTGCCTATACAAATTTAATACCATTACATAAACCTGTGCAGCAAACATTCTATTTTTTCCAAAATGCATTATTTTCAAGCAAATACGTCTAATCATTGAGAAGTGACACATGATAGAAAACTTAAGTCCTAAGGTAAAGGTTAAGTCCTTCTTAGGATTCACAGCTGAGTGTCACGAGACTGAGACAAATGGTTTTTTACAAAACTTTCAGCACAAATATTCATGTAAATATACAATGGCCTTTGGAGATTAGATTTTACATAAAATCAATAATAGGAGATGTTCACATTATAGATGAAAAAATGATTACAGAATTGTATTATGGTAGAGCCAATAGCCAACACAGTATATTTCATAACCTTCTTGACTTTACTCAAATATTTATTTATTAGACATATGCCAGAGCAGAAACATATGTACATAGCCTATGTGTCAGGTAGGGTTAAATGTTCAACTACTTCCAAACACAAGTACTTTAAATGAAAGGGCCGTCATAGCTTATTCCTGAATGAATGTGAAAATATTTCATTTTTGTTTTCAGACATCATGAACATAACAATCACCAAGTTTGAAATGGATGAAAATAGGTTGTAGAGATGGTTATCATTAAAAAATGCAGAAAATTAAATTTGTACTTTATATTCTATTGTCACCTGATAAGTAACAGGTATAATTTTTACAGTTTTTCTGGGAGAAGTTCTCTAGCCAGTCCATTTAAATCTATGTTTTTCATAGTAATTACAATTCCATCTATATTGCAGGACACAAAATTATGATTTTAGCTGATTAATGTTATGAATATAAATATTTATATGTCTATATAATACATATATAGACAGATATTTGTTGAGCACATATATATTTATACAAATGTATGTGATGTATATATTTATTCAACGTTAACTTTCGATCCTAAATTTTGACTTTGAAAGTGCTGAACATAATCAGAAGACAATGATTTTATGCGTACCATTACACTTACCAGAGTAATCGGTGATTATTTTGTTATGTTGAGTATCTGTGGAATTTGATGAAATCCCCAATGCATTAACAGTACCTTAATGAGGTAATTTACTACTTAAATATACTCCTAGTTATAAATTGTTACTTTTTATATCCCTCTTCAGATAACACCAGATTTTTAGGATGGCTCAATCACAACAATATGCTTACCACTGTTTATTTATTTATTTATTTAGAGAGAGTCCTACTCTGTCACCAGACTGGAGTGCAGTGGCACAATCTTGGCTCACTGCAACCTCTGACTCCGGAGTTCAAATGATTCTCCTGCCTCAGCCTCCCGAGTAGCTGGGATTACAGGTGCACACCACCATGCCCAGCTGATATTTTGTAATTTTAGTAGAGAAGGGGGTTTCACCACGTTGGCCAGGATGGTCTCGATATCCTGACCTCGTGATCTTCCTGCCTCGGCGTCCCAAAGTGCTGGGATTACAGGCACAAGCCACTGTGCCCGGCCTACCACTCTTTTTATTTTAAGTGATTTTCTTTACCCTGCTACATGAATTGATTGTTTCTGTGGAAAAATATAATAATAAATAAATACATAAATAATAAAGATGTGAACAAACTAATTTTATTCACAATCCCAGCATGTATTTATCTAGCATGGGAAGAAAAAGACTGGGCAATCTGTCCTTTGAAAGTAAAAATTCAAACACTAATTTTGATTATTCTTTTCTCAATGCCATTTCAAAAATGACATATTTCTTGTCTATAAATTTACTTAAATATCATTAACATTGTAAGGTAAAGTGTTACTATCAGCAACATAAGAGGATAAGAAAAATATCCTTTTCACATACAATCCACCTCTGTGCAGAAGTCCTTTCCTCAAAACACTTCACACTCACACAGAAGCATACATTGTTAAAGTAAAATCACTGCACTGTTCTTGGAACGAGGGAACGCTGAGCAAGGGAAAGGTAGTAGATAGTCTCCATTCTGTCTAATATAAATGAACATTGTTTTCTCAGCATTATAAAATGCAATTGGAAATCAACTATGCTGAGAAGACAATGGCTTGTATTTGCTGTCTCCTTAAGAAATGTCTCATATGCTTCACAATTCTACCCAAAAGATGATACTTTATATTTATGGATTTGTTAAACTATTGGAATTTAAAAGATCATAAGTTTATTGCTATAATGAAAGAGAAAAACTTAAATTTAAGAACTAAAAGGCGGCTGATGTAAATTTTAGGGCAACTTTTAAAGTTTCTTAGCTTTATAAATGATATATTTTATTTTCAAAAATACAAGCAAATAAAATAGTAAAATTTATATTGGATGCAAGCACTTTAAATTGAAGAGAAAATACGTTACAAAACTTAAAGAAGAAGGTTTCTGGAGACAAATGGAACACATATATACTTCTTAATTCTTTACAAATTTGTGGAGAAAAGTATGCATCTTTCAAAGATTAGACTTACTATGTTTAGAAATTTCTTAGAATGGTTCAAAACTTATATTGCAAAATTTTAAGTAAAATATATCTACAAAGCGGGTAAAAACCCACTGTTTTAAAGCATGAAACAACTTACTGAGACCTCCACTGACTCCTTTAATGATTAGAAAAAAAAAGGGGGTGGGGAATAAATTGTCCACAGTTTGAGTGTTACTGTGTCTATTTATTAATTAACTAATTTTTTTTTCTTTCTTTTTGAGACAGTCTCTCTCCGTCACCCAGGCTGGAATGCAGTGACGGGATGTCGGTTCACTGCCACCTCCACCTCCCGGGCTCAGGCGATTTTTCCCAACTTCGCCTCCTGAGTAGCTGGGACTACAGACTCCTACCACGCCCCCAGCTAATTTTTGTGTGTGTGGTTTTACTAGTAACAGGGTTTCACCACATTAGCCCAGCTGTTCTCGAACTCTGACCTCAAGTGATCTGCCCATGTTGGGCCCTCAAAGTGCTGGGATTACAGTGTGAACTACTGTGCCCGGCCATTATGTCTACTTTAAATTGTTGTATTTGATGTTCTTATGTGTTTATGTATTTGTAGACTTAAAATAAATAATATCCATCAAACTCAAATATACTGCTTTTTAAAATGTGGGGCCACGTTAGATGCTTCATTATCCCTTTATGACACTACGGTAATAATAGCTTTGTATTTTCAATTGGGGGACAATTATTCGAAAGGAACAAAAATAATGCAGGAACACAATTTAAAAAAATGTTTGAAGTAAACATCGTTAATACATGCATAACAGGAAACACATTATTTTGTTTGTTCTCATATTGAGCAAGCTGAAACTATAATGTAAAATGACAAAAATAAAAGAAAAATAATTAAGAATGAGGAAGCAAAAATAACATATAAGTATATATAATCTTCATATAGTCAGAAACAACAAACAGCAAACCAGATGCTTCAGATCACATATATATGACTGTTTAAATGAGAAATAAAATAATGAATGACAGAAAGCAAAACAAGAAAAGGACAGAGAATTTGTTGCTTATGGTAATATAATATTTAGATCACAAATCTGTATTGTACTAACTAATGAAAACTCTTATTTCCACACCTTACTCCCTGGCCATATTTATCTATTCATTTACTCATTTATTCACCTAAGCAAAAATTATGTTTCAGATATCAGGATAGGTAATACTATCCCCAACTTTTCCGTAGACTTACTTTTCAGTCACTTCACACTGCAATTACTTTAAGCAAAAATTTCTTTATATGTTTATAAACAAATACAAAAAAAATATTGACTTTCTTGATAAGTCAGTCTTTTGTTAATCTCTCAAAATATAGACTTCTTGAAAGGCAAAATCTCAGGCCAGATACTGACCTTTCTATCATTTTTAAGAACAAGTGTTCAAGCATTTGGTTTAAATATTGTAAAAATGATCATATTACAAATATATTAAGTAACATTAAATGATTTTCAATGGTGTTAGTCAAACAAAATAAATCTTATATGATTAAATATCATGGAATTTTAAAAGTCTATGAGAAATGAAAGATACTTAATCAAACTTTCATTAGAAACATAAGTAGGAAATTGATTTTTAAAAATATTGGAAAATACGAAGTTCATCAGTAACTTATAGTACATATGTTAACCTTGCTGATGTTGCATGATTTCAGAGCATCCTTATCTTTGATCACAACCTTCATAATCCCAGAAATTCTTTGAAGATTCATTTTGTCAAGTCTTGAAAACTTTTGTATGTTAAATATTTTTTAATACCATGCTGATAAATTAACACCTATTGAGGAATTATGCAATTGATGTTAATTAAAAATATTTAGTTGGAATTAGAGCATTACTACATTAATAGTGCTGAAAATATATTTCACTCTGAGTGCTGCTTTTGACTTCGCAAACTACTACCACGTGTGATTTCATCTATTCCTTACAACGAATAAATAACCGAGCAGTGAAGGATAATTAGACTTCGCAAATGTGAAAGGCAAATTTTTTAGAAAAAGAATCAGCGCAGAGAAGGGATTTAGCAAACGCCTAAAAAAAGAAAAAAGCCCGTTGGATAATTATTTTGAACACTAGCACTGAAAGTCATCTCTAACTACTTTAATTTTACATACTGTGGAATGGCATTATGATACATTGTGTATGAGAAGATTTTTTTTTTTTTTTTTTTTTTTTTTGAGATGGAGTCTCGCTGTGTCACCCAGGCTAGAGTGCAGTGGCCGGATCTCAGCTCACTGCAAGCTCCGCCTCCCGGGTTCACGCCATTCTCCTGCCTCAGCCTCCCGAGTAGCTGGGACTACAGGCGCCCGCCACCTTGCCCGGCTAGTTTTTTTTTTGTATTTTTTTAGTAGAGACGGGGTTTGAGAAGATGTGGCTTTGTCAAGTTACCAGTAACTGAAATTGTTGTATATGCTTCTAGCATAAGGAAATTAACGAATCCACATTCCTCCCTTGTATCTTAAGTAGTATTTCAAGTGATCTGAAAAAGTTAATAAACTTTTGCTGTGTGTTTAACTTACTCCCAAAGAGTACTTGACATAAGACAGTAAAGCCCCTATCTTATGATATTATGGCTAAAATGTCATTTCTTTTGTGTAAAGCAATGGGTCTAAGTTCTCATGTGAGCCTTATTCTCAAAACAAAATAAAACCTCTTTGATGTTAACCTGTTTACAGATCTTTAATAAAACACCCTCAAATTATTATATAATTAAGTTTTTCAAGGAGTGAATAGAAACATTTATCTATGGACCTTAATTTCAGTAAATTGTTAATAATTCCACATTACCCAGGAGCATTATTAGTTTCTACTCAATTTAAAATCCTGTGTTAAAAAATGATGTATTCTCACTAAATGGCATGATTTCTAGTTAAATTTATCACAGTTTTTGGTTAAAATAGCAAATGCATTTACTTTAAAAGGAAAACATTCAAATGCAAAACTATAGTGCAAAGGGAAAAAAATCCACTGCCTGTTTAATGAGCAATGACTTTATAAGACTTATAAATCTAATGAGAACACCATTAGAAGTTTTTAAATTTTACTTGGTGATAAAGATAAACACCGCTTTGATAAAGGCAGTCTTGTATGTCTCCCTCTTTAGCTTGCATTAAGACCAACATAAAACTCATTCATTCAGAAAATGTGTATTAAATGAATGAAAACACCTTCATATGTCCATGTAGATGCATAGGAATTTGTAGCCTGTGACTTAAACTTTTAGAGTTTTCATAAATGCAAAATAAATTGCACTTTCTTCTCCTTTCCACTGAAAAAGGTGTGTTGTGGAGGAGAAATACCTTACAACCATTAAGGCACCTGCACCAAGGATGTTGTTTCGAAGGGAACTAATTTTAACATTAACTCAGTATACTAATTGAATATTTTATTTTAAATAATTTAGCAACATGAAGTTGTTCTCTACAACATTTCCCTAAAAACAAAGGAAACACTATTACCATTGAAAGAAAATATACAGTCTACTTAAAAAATATCATTTATCCATAGGTGGTCCTTTGTAAAATTAGAGAACATATCACTTTTTATGCAACACTGTCTTTTTTCTACAACAATTTTCATTTTTTTAATCTGCTGTTACTAGTCCTAGGAGCTGGTCCTAGAATAGGGAAAGGCACTGCTGCTACGTCATGCTTTTCCCCTTATTATTTTATTTATGTTTCCTTCCAGTATACATATACATAAATACATATATATAGTTATATATGTGTATATATATATATTGTTCCTGAGAAGGTTGATTTATGCACAGCATCGGAATTGCAAATTCCAATTTTCTATGTGAGTTCTCAAAATGATTTTTCGTTGAAAAGAAATAATAAATGACACAGAGCTTTTCAGTAGTCCCTCAGAATTTGAGAGTTGCCTTTCCACTATGACCATCAGAACAGTCAGACTGAATAAACATCACATTCATAGACATGCTTCTTTTAGAAAACAGTCCACATGTGTTCGGCGAGTTAATATAACAATAGTATTCCTTTACTTCTCCATCGAGGGAGCACTTGTGCCTTGCTCTGGATCTCTCAGCAGGCAAAGTGAGAAACTTACTTGGCTTGATATGTGCTCTTTTAGATGTGGGCCCCTCTGTGACAGAATCGGGAGGTCGGCTAGCTAACTGCAAGGCAGTTGAGTTGTTCCTGTTAGTGTTTTGGGACTCAACATTTGTGACAGCTTCACTCTGTGGTTCGGTACTTGGCTTTGTGCCAGTCTTTCTTTTCTGCTTTTGGGACACAGAAGTGCTTGAAGTCCAGGAAGGAGGCAAAGCAGAGGTAGTGGTAGAGGAGTCCTGACTCGAACAAGTTTCTGAAGATTGAATCACATTGTCATTGGCAGCTTTACAACACTGGGCATTCTCTTCGTGTCCCACAGCTTGTTTGGACACGGACTGGGGCAGCGTTACACTACAGCCTTGTATTTGAGCCCCATTAGTTTGAGAATAAACATTGCTAACCTTGGTGACCTTGTGTTGCCCATTATTGTTGCAAACCTTATACCGGATCATCAGAATAATGATGAATACCAGCACAGATGCTACAATGATTCCACCAATAATAATAATCATGGTGCCTCCCAAAAACTGGGACTGCATGAAATGGCAACGCACATAATCCTGTTCCGTAGTAAACTGGATGCAACCCACGACTCTTGTGGCAGTGAGGGAAGTGATGCCATCATCATATATGGCCAAGACACACAAGTCATACATAGTTCCAGCAGCCAGATTATTGACCAGAAAAGTTTTGCTCGTAGGAGGTATCATTCTGAGGGACAATGGAATTTGTGTTAATATTAATAACAAAACAAAACATATACACAGAAAGTCATTATGACTTTAGTTCGGTGTCATTTTAGTATTCATTAAGGTAAGTACATTTATAACATATGAATTATTGAAAAATGATCTAATCTCATATTTACCGAGTTAAAATGGCTAAAAGTCCTTGCCAGCATCTGCACTATATTAATTGTTCCTACCCCAAGCCTTCACAAGCTTACTAATTACATTGCTTGGCAAAGGAGAACTCCTAATAAAAAACACTGCTAAAAAATCATTGATGATAAATTACTTTTGAAAGGTGTGACTGTGACATTATCTGACTGCTAAACAAATCCATTTAGCACTTACAATATCTCTACGACTAAAAGCAAATTTGAAGGAAGGGAAAATGTTGACAATCACATTAGAAATCTAAATAGATATGCATTTCAGAGCATTTATTTTCCATTTCAGAAAAATGAAATGGCACCCAGTAAATATATATTTAATAACTAAGATTATTACTAAGATTAAAGTATTTTCTTTACAAATCTAATCTTTTTTTAATGCCGTCAACACTTGGACCCCATTATGTTTTTATCTATAAATGAGGATAATGAAAACATATAAGTAATATTATCCTAGAAACATGAACAAGGCAAGTCTTTCGACCAGAGCATAAATCCCTCATTCCATTTTATGCTACCACAAATTTCCATCGGAGCACAATTTATAAAGTATAAGAGTTTAGGTGGTGCCCAAATCTAATATCACCTAATTCCAGTGATACTTTCACTGCGATGGCTCATGCCTGTAATTACAGCACTTTGGGAGGCCAGTGAGGGTGGATCAGTTGAGGTCAGGAGTTTGAGACCAGCCTGACCGATATGGTGAAACACCATCTCTACTAAAAATATAAAAATTAGCTGGAAGTGGTGGCAGGCACCTGTAGTCCCAGCTACTCGGCAGGCTGAGACAGGAGAATTGCTTGAACCCGGGAGGCAGAGGTTGCAGTGAGCCGAGATTGTGCCACTGCACTCAAGCCTGGGTGACAGAGCAAGACTTTACCTTAAAATAAATAAATAAATTAATTAATTAAAGAGTTTATAGACATCTGTGAATCTACTACTTCCTAAAAGTTTCTTGTTGATGTCTATTTTCCTCTGTTCCTTCAGTAGCAACTGAATATGACCTAATTTATAATTAAACAACAGGCATTACTAAGCATTTTGTATACATTAAAATTTAATCTTTACAATGACCTCATGAGACAGGCATTATCACTATTTTACAAATGACAAAAAAAGTCAGGGATTCAAGAAATTTCCTCAAGGTTTAACAAAATTTTACTTGTCATTGCAGGATTAAAATCCTGGAATTTGGAAAATCAAATCTGGCTTATTTCACAGAGCTAATGTTTAAAATATATATAATATCCAATAGCTACAGAAAAGTGTGGGGTGGGGAGGGATATTTGTCATTGACAGTAGTCCATGGGTTATGTGAAGAGCCTGGTATGACAAGAGCAAATTACTTAAAGTTAATATACATGTATCATAGTCCACGTCCCCACATATTTAGTGATGAAGGGATAATTTCTCCCTTGTAATAACGAGGAATTGAAACTCAGCCAGGTAGAATCCTGCCCCGGGTTGATCACATGGCTAGCTAGGAGAGGTTTAATTTTGCCTACTAGTCCATGCTTTTAAAAAAAAAATTACCCTCATTTCCATACAGGAATGAAAATCAATTATATTGAATAATTCACCTGGGTACATAGCAACTGATCTGATTTCTGAATATCTTAAACATTATATATATATAAAATATGTGTGTGTGTGTATATTATATATATATTTCAAAGCCATGGTTTTGCATCATTTCCCAGGGCATAGTAAGTCTCTCACAAGTGAAATTATATGAAAGGGTAAAAATATGTCTTTTTAACAGAAAATTGGACAAGATGTGACTATAAATCAATGAGGCTGAACTTTAGAAAAACATACCAGAAATTCTTTAGTAGGTGCAAATTCCCCATAATCATCCTTACTTGGATATTACATACCTAATTCCAGTGATACTATCACTGCTCAAATTATTTATAAAGTTTCTTTTTGGAACTCTCTTAGAACCAGTACACATGAGACAACACAACCACACACACACACACACACACACACCCCTTAATCACTCAAAAAATCAGTCTCATTATTTTATAGTTACATCCTATTTTTGACCAAAAATGGCAATACCCATCTTGATCACCCACCTTATTCACAAGACTTGACTCCAAATGGCTTTTGCTTGTTTCCAAAATTCAAATTCACCCTCAAAAGACGAAGATTTGCCACCACTGAGGATATTCAAAATAGTATGATGAAGGTTCTAAAGATAATTCCAAAAGTGCTTTGAGCAATGGCAGCATCATTGGGATAATGGTATAGCCTCCCAACATGACTTCCTTGAAGGAAAGAACACTCATTTGGATGTGTAAGTTCTGGTATGTTTTTGAATTTTTATTATAAATCAGTCTTGTTCTCTGATAGTCACATCTCTTAGATGAGGGGGAAAAAAGTAAGCAAGCATAATATTAAATATAAGTTGAACTCTCTAAAAATAATACCATTCAAAATATCTCCCCACTTGTATTACCACCTTTTTCAAAGCTTACACTATGCACTTTAAAATACGGAATTACAACACAGAATAGCACTGCCAATTAGAAAAAATCAGTAGTACATTAACAAGTTCTACACTAAGATGCATGGTAAGTATATAAATTTGCTTAATTTTTCTTACCTGTAAACAAGGGTGTCATCATAAGTACCATTGTACTGGATTTGAAACATACGTATTCCAGGGATATTTCTTTGAAAATTAAATTTAAGTAGTGCCGTTGATGATGTAGCTTCTGCCACCACAATTTTATCTTGACTCAATTTAGTATCACCATTACTACTACTTGTATTAGACCCTGACTTGGTAGAAGTTGAGATATCTGAAGAACCAGGATCAGGCTCATGGATATGGTTTGTACTGTTTAGTAAGTGAGGGAGCTTAATTATATGAAGATCAACTATTTGTGTTGCTTCCCCAGCAGGATTGGAAGCAATGCAGGTAAAAGCACCTGTATCCTTTACAGTAGTTATAAGAATGTCAAGCGTTCCGTTATCATACACCAGAGATCTTGTTGCATTTGAAATAAGCTTTCCTTCAGGAGAAATCCAGTGAATTGCAGGCTCAGGGTCTCCCCTGGCTTTGCACCTCAGTGTTGCCCTTTGTCCCTCCAGGACTCTCATCTCATGTGTATGACGAGTAATGAGAGGAGGCTCACACAAAAACTCTTCTTCAGGAATTGACCAAAAGTAGCGGCCAGTTAAAAGTGGAGGAGAAGCACAGGTCTCTAAGTCATCTTCTCTGGACAGACGCCTCAACCACAACAATTCACAATTGCAATGCAAGGGGTTTCCACCAAAACTTAATGCAAAAGTAGATGGGCTTATGATTCCTGAGGTTGCTAGTACCTGAGCTCGCTGAAAGAGAGGGTCAGGTGGTAGCTTCTGCAATTTATTTGATGTCACATCTAACCGAGTCATCTTGTGCAAATGGGAGAAGGTCCCCTTAGGAATGTTATCAATCATATTGTGATCCAAACTAAGGGTATGCAAGCTAACCATCTTCTCAACAGCATCCCAAGGAATGGTTTCTAGATTATTATAGGACAGATCCAGCTCCTCAAGGGCGAAGACATCATCAAATGCTGTAGAGGAAATTAAAGTCAGTTGATTGTTGTTGAGTATCAAATGATGAAGATTGGAAAGACCACTGAACATATCATTTGTAATTTTAGTCAATCTGTTGCTATTCAAATGCAAAGCCCTCAAATTTCGTAGGTCAGCGAAAGCATGAGGTGTAATAAAACTTATTGTATTCCTGGATAGGGTCAGGTCCACCAAGCTGGTCATATTGGCAAAATCTTTCCTTTTAATATTTGTAACAAAATTGTCTGCCAACCGCAGTTCCACAGTTCTTCTGTCAATGTTTGGTGGAACAAATAAAAGCCCTTTCTTGGCACAAAGGGTTGCAAGATTAGGAGACAAAATCTGACAGACACAACGCTTTGGACAGATCTGAGCTTTCACTGCTATGCCAATGAAAAACAGATAAAAAAGAATTTTTTCCATTGTAGATCAGATTTAAGAGCCTGTAACAGAAGACACAAAATAGAATGTTAGCATCCAATGATTTAATTCATATTCATATTCCTACTAAAATAATATTTGTATGCAATGTAGAATAGAGAAATAATTCCACTTGTTTGCTTAACAAGTATTAATATTTATTCTGTAGTAAAGGCCATAATGGGCAATAGGGATGAATCATACACCACTGATAGTTTCATGGGATTTAAAATCAAGTGGGAAAAACAAAGCAGTCAAAAGATTATTATAACTCTGCAAACTAAGTGCCATTTTTAAAGTATGTCCAGGGTACTCCATGGGTGAACCAAAATAGATATATGGCTGAGATTCTAGGCCTGGGAGTTCAGGAGAACATATCCTAGACCCTGAAGGACATTTTGTTACATAAAGATATCTAAAAAATTAGAGGCATATTTGAAGATTTGTAAGTAGGTCAATTCAGTAGCCTAAATGGAAACAATAAAAAACCAATATTTGTTAGTTTGCAGCATGACCTTGAAGACAACAAATCCTTGATTTTTTTAACTTTACAAACTATCTTGACATAGATCAACCTTCACTTTTTTATTTATTTATTTTTTTTATTATTTTATTTTTGAGATGAATCTATCATTGTTGCCCAGGCTGGAGTGCAGTGGCGTGATCTTGGCTCACTGCAACTTCCACCTTCCGGGTTCAAGTGATTATCTTTCAGCCTCCCTAAGTAGCTAGGATTACAGGCCCCTGCCACCATGCCCAGCTAATTCTTGTATTTTTAGTAGAGACAGGGTTTGTCATGTTGGGCAGGCTGGTTTCGAACTCCTGACCTCAGGTGTTCCGCCCGCCTCAGCCCCCAAAGTGCTGAGATTACAGGCATAAGCCACAGTGCCCAGCCAATCTTCACATCTTGACTAAAAATGCAAAAATCTTATGCTCAAAAATAACAAAGTTGAATGCTTACCACAATAGCTCTGAGTTCCCTAAATATTAAAATATTTTATTGGTTACAAATATGGATTTTTAAAGATAATTTCTGGGAAGCAGCCATCAGTGGTTTCACTTAACAGTATGTTCAACAAGATATTATATTCAGTTTTCCTTTTTTAAAAATCTTAATGAATGTATATTTATCGAAATTTAATTGTAAATAAACACTTTGACAATTTTAATTTTTCTGTTTGACCTTGTGTATATGCTATTGAAATCAATCCTCAAAAATAATAATAGCATATATGTGATTAAAAGTTCTCATATGTTGCATCAAGTTTTTTTCTCTTTTTTTTTTCCGAGGCAAAGATTTTCTCTGTCACCCAACCTGGAGGCTGGAGTACAGTGGTGTGATCATGGCTCACTGCAGCTTCGACCTCCCCAGCTCAAAGGATCCTTCCACCTCAGCCTTCTGAGTGGCTGGGACTACAGATAAGTGCCACCACCCTAGGGAAATTTTTTTTTTTTTTTTTTTTTTTTTTGAGACAGGGTTCAAACTCCTGGGCTCAAGCAATCTTCCTGCCTCAGCCTCCCAAAGTGCTGCGAGTCCAGGAAGGAGCTACCTTACTCAGGCCGTTGCATGAAATTTTAAAAACCATGGGTGAAAATAGCTGTAGAAAATCATACATGTTTTCAATTTAATACAATATGAAATCATCCTGGAAATATCATGCCTAGTTTTCTAATTAAAGCATATTTTATGACTTTTAATTATTTAATGCCTTTTGTAAGGTAAAAGCCCCTGATAGCAATAACTTAAACATATCCTTAGAATGACCCCAGATTGTGTGCAGAGGCACCTGAATGTGTGTCCTGAGCCAGGGAATCCAGGAGTGGCCAGTCCGGAGATTCATTCCTTGTCTATGAGAAACATCTGAGCCCCCAACCTGTCCAATGGAACACGGGCTGTACAGGGGATTAATGCCCTGAATTTTGCGTTACGGAGGCTGCCGGGTGGAGATCGTTAAGTGGTGGGGGGGAGCTTGTTAAATGCTATAGAAATTGCAAGCAGTTGTGGTTTTCCTGACCAGCCTGCCACCACTGGACTGTACGTAAGGCAGATATGTTGTCCAGCCTGTGACCACTGGACTCTTCCCTGTATGTAATCCCCTAATCAAACCCCATATCTCACTTGCTGGCTCTGGGTCTCTTCTTCCGCTTCTTGAACCTGGATCCTTCCTACTGAGGTTAAGAGGTGTCCGGCACAACACCTATTTGATGCCATATGAAATGTGATCTAGTTAATAAAAATGATCATTATCAACAAATAAAGATATAATCTTCTGTTCATTACTAACTGGTATTAAACTAGCCTTTCCAAAATAAGCATTAACAAATAAAATTACAAAAATATATAAAACAACAAGTTTTAGACATTGGAAATGAATAAATACAGAACCATGATCCTTGAAATAATGAGTTAAAAAATGAATTCTATAATTATCCCCGGAGACATTTTCCAAATCACAGCACAAGAAGGGGGAACAAGGCAACGTACGATTAGTCTTGTTAAACTGAAAAGACAAAGATTGGAGCGCACAGAGTCTCAGGTGGCTTGAATTTGTGGAGCAGCATCCTAACGGAAAGAGAGTTATTGAAGAAGGGTTCTGGTAATCTATGTAAGTGGAGGCAGGGTAATAGGTACAAACCATGCTGTAATACTGATAAAAAGGGATGAAAGGAAAAGGAACAAAAATCCAATGACCTGTGGAACGATGTTAAGAAGTCAAACATACACGTAATTGCAATATCAGAAGAATGCTGTTAGTCCGAAATATATTTAATGAAATAAAAGCAAATAATTTGTTGAATGTTATAAAAAAATCTATCAATCCAAGCTCAACACAATGAAACCATGCCAAGACACATCATCATCAAATTGCAGATAACCAGAGGAAAGGTAACTTAAATGTAGGCATATAAATAAGACGGGATTACCATAAGGTAAGGTAAACAAAACAAAAGTAACTGCTGACTCCTCACTGACTTCTCATTGTAAATAAAGTGAGATGGAAGATAATGAACAACATCTTTAAAGTGCTCCATGAAGAAAAGAAAACCTAGCAACCTAGGTAGGATTATACTTTCATAAAAGATGAAAACAAGGTAAGAAATTTTAAGAGAAACAGTTTCTTCATAAACAAATCTGCACTTACATGAAAATGTAAAAGATAGTGTCTTTAGGTTGAACGAAAATTACATATAATGGAAGAAACTTGAAACTTTATAAATGACTAAAGAACAACAGAAATGAACCATCTGAAGATATGTATGCAATATTTTTCTTGCATTTTAATGTGTTTATAAATAGTATTTCTGGAATAAATATAGAAAGTAATAAGAAACCATCACTGTCATCCTAAGCAAACAAAATAAGCTGGATAAGCTACAAATCATATTTTTAAAAATAGTAACATTATAACCTTTAGAATACAAATATAATTAAAGAATCTAACTTCCAGAGGTGACAGTCCTTGATAAAAGGGAGGAAATGGCCAGGGGTGGTGGCTCACGCCTGTAATCCCAGCACTTTGGGAAGTGTAGGGGGCGGGGGCGCAGATCATGAGGTCAGGAGTTCGAGACCATCCTGGCCAATATGGTGAAAATCCGTCTCTACTAAAAATACAAAAATTAGCTGGGCGTGGTAATGCACATCTGTGGTCCCAGTTACTGGGGAGGCTGAGGCAGGACAATGGCATGAACCTGGGAGGTGGAGGTTTCAGTGAGTGGAGATCACGCCATTACACTCCAGCCTAGGTGACAGAGCAAGCCTCCGTCTCAAAAAAAGAAAAAAAGGAAATACATAGCTGTTCTCTACTTCCCCCACCAACAAAATAGAAACTAGGACATCCTAACTATCTGACATAACTTGGGATAAAAGGAATCCTGCCTACATTTTACCAAACTTTTAAGAGTGCATTTGTGGTTGGATATAACAAAATAGAATCCACAAGAGCCCCAATAGTAACAGTGAGAAAATATTAACACCTATCTCATTCTTGTTACTTTCATGAGTAACAGGAATATTATCTTAAAAAATATGGGAATAGAGAGAGGATAGAGATAATTTCTCTCAGATACATGCTATTTTCAGATGAGAAAAAAAATGAGGAAGGAAAGGAAAATTGAAAGAAATATTTCGGGCAAACTTGCTTTTCAGCTTGGAAAGAATGGGAAAAATGCAGAGGAACTGGAAGAAAAATACAGTCCCTCAGGGATTTCATCTATCAGGATTGATGGAGGGGTGGGAGAGCTCAGTCCCCTTCATCTCCCTACAAATACTCCTGATTTTAACGACAAAATGCCTAGGGTGACATTGGGCAGCTGAAAAATCCTTCCTAGAGCTTCCTAGAGGATATCTCCACCTTTGTAGACTATGGGGTAGCTGCAGCCAAAAGAAAAAAAAAATGCTAAGGGTGAGATTTGAGATAAAAAAAATTCTGTTAGGCCACCAACAAATCTGGCCCAGAGCTCTAAAGCAGGGTGGTGAGGCCTCCAGAAATTTAGAGATCAAAAGATTCATCGGTAAAATAGAGATAGATCTCGAAAACCACCGTAGGGCACAGATCTCAGATCTTACTAAACAGGAAATTCCCAGACATGTAAGAATTCACATAAAAACTTGAAGAAGCAAGAAAAAGTGACCAACATTAAAAAGAAAGTGATTAATAGAAGCAGATCCAGAGACACCCCAGATATTACAATTACCAAAGGAAGCATAAAATTACTATAAAAAAAATTCTAACTTGTCTACAGGAAAAGATGGACATCACGCATGATTTGACGGGAAATTTTAACAGAGATGTGAAAAACAATTTTTAAATGTATATGATCTAAAATCTTCATAACAGAAGATTGGGCAGAGCAGAAGAAAAGTATAAATGTAATCGAAGATAAATTAATAGAAAAAAACTAAAATCAGATTTAAAAAGCCTGAAAGAACAGAACAAAAAGTATTAGATCTGAGGGAAAAATATTTGAATGATTAATATCATCATAATTTTAATCCCTCTCAGAAAGAAAAGGAGAATGGGGC